CCCCAAAACCCCAAAACCCCAAAACCCCATAAAACTTAAATACTTCTATTTAGTGTGATAATAAATAGCAGATTAATTAATTAGAGCGTGATCTTTATATATAGCTACGAATAGCTCAAAGCTTCTTGAGGAGAATTTCTATACCTTTGGCTTTGGGTAGCTCTTTCCTGATCTTCTCAATTGTCTTTTTATTTTTCTGAACTTATGAAAGCACTATTGCCTTTGTCTCCTCGTGTTCAATCAACTCCAAAAGAATGAAAACTGCTCTTGATCTGATAACATCATCGAAGTTCTTTAATAAGACTGAGCCGATTGTGTTGCTGAATGTTAGTGTTTCCTTGGTGTCTTCTTGCTCTCTTTCCTGCTTGACTAACTCCTTGAGGACTCTGTGTAGATCTTGATGACCGAGGAGAATGCCTTTCTCACCTCCTTCTTTCTCATAAGCCTCCTTCTTAATGGCCTGTCTGAACATCTCATCAATCAAGTCTTGGTGCTCAACTCCACAACCAACTTCAATAATGCACTAAAGGACACACTTCAATACTTAGTTCTTGTTGATTTCAAGCAAATAATAAGACAAATTTTCCTCAAAGAAAGCTTCAAGTGGCTTGAGAAGGCATTTTAAGAGCTCTGCTCTTCTAACCTCCTCTGGTTTCTTGCTGGAAGTATGCTCTTTCAAGGCTTCAAAGGCTTCTAATTCCTCAGCGATGAAGTATCTTTTGCTTCTTGGTTGCAACACTCCAATGATCACTTGCTGATAGTATTTATCACTAATGAATTCATCGATATTTTTCAAAATTTCCTAAAAACAATATAACTCTTTAACTATTTTACAGTAATAATCTTCTTCTTTGCTAGTTGGGTATCATCTAGATTATTGAGGATGTGGATGACGAAGAGGTGACTGATTTTGTTGGTAAGCATTTCATTCAGTACATCTTTCAAGCTCTTAATGACAGTTTTTCTATCCTTTGCATCCAAGAGATTGAAGCAAGCACAGGCTACATAAAGACCCTTGTATGAAGCTAGCAGTGTTGGAAGTGCTTCCTTCAATGAATCTGCAATATTCTTGAGTCTCTCAACATCCTTAGCAGTCCTGATAATTAGTTATTCACACTTTATCTTACTTGAAGAAATCGTAGAGGATAGCTTGGACGATAGTGTGTCTGGTCAAACCTTTCTCGACTACTTTTTGAGATACCTTTTCAAGTTTGTGGAGAATTTAGTCAGCAAGTTAGGGCTTTTTATCTAGAAACTCCTTAAGAGTGATGTTTTTTGTATTGATTCCATCTTCCTCAACCTCTTTCAAAAGAAGGAAGTAGTTTCCATAGAATGAAAAGACCATTTCTCTCTTTTCCTGATCTGTGGAGAGGCCATAAATATACTCAATAACTTCAGATGCATACTATAAACAGATTAGAAAATTGAACTATAACTCACAGCATGTATAATGTATTTGTTGATCTCTGTTGTGACAGTTGTTCTGAAGTACTGCTTTTACTCAGGCATGGGAGCATGTAGATAGGCTTTCGATGCCAAGTAATGAGAGTACTTTTAACTCATAACATGCAAGTAATGTGGTTTGATGCTTTCGACTACCTTGGTCTTCTGCTCCTTATTACCATACTTAAGCAAGGCTTGCAATATTCTGCATCCATCATGCTTATATAAGAGCTCTTCAAACTTAAGTCCAATCAACTCAATGCACTCCTTGACCAGCTCGCACTTCTCTCCCTTCTCCATTCTCTTATCTCTGTTCTTGATGATCAATTTATTGTAGTTCACCTATAGATAAGCATAAGCATCATTCACTGAATAAAAATGATGATTACTCTGAGTTTCTTGATTAGATCAGAGACTTTCTGCTTTTATCTTCTGTTCATAGTGCCTGGAGCACCTGTTGGCTTGTTAAAGTTCTTTTTGGTATACTTTTGTGGCTCATCCTACTTGACAACCTCAAACTTGGAGTTGGCAATAGCAGATTTCTTGCTATTGATGCCTTCTCTGCTCTTATCAATTTTATTGGCATTTCCATCTCTTCCATTAAATCTGTCCTGCTTTGACTTCTTTTGGAATCCCTTATTTTCTCTCTTCTTTCCATTGAACTCCTGTTCTCTGCCTGTGGAGCCTGCTCTGCTTTGAGATTGCTTCATCTTGTCGAATGTTCTCTTTTTGTCTTTCTTGTCTATACCCTTACTTCCTTCACCCATATTTAGTAGTATTCTCGCTGATTTGTATTAAAATTAATGCACTTTACTCTAATTTCGACCTATTACTATGTAGTGGGGTTTTGGGGTTTTGGGGTTTTGGGGTATAGACA